GATTGTTGTGGTCCACACATTCAAAGGCTTTGGCATAGTCAATAAAGCAGAAACAGATGTTTTTCTGGAACTCTCTTGCTTTTTCAATGATCTAGAGGATGTTGGCAATTTGATCTCTGGCTCCTCTGCCTTTTCTAAAACAAGCTTGAACATCTGTAATTGCACGTTTCATGTATTGCTGAAGTCTGGCTTGGAGAATTTTGAGGATTACTTTACTAGCGTGTGAGATAAGTGCAATTGTGTGGTAGTTTAAACATTCTTTGGCATTTCCTTTCTTTGGGACTGGAATGAAAACTGACCTTTTCCAGTCCTGTGGCCACTGCTGAGTTTTCCAAATTTGCTGACATATTGAGTGCAGCACTTTCACAGCATCATCTTTCAGGATTTGAAATAGCTCAACGGGGATTCCATCACCTCCACTAGCTTTGTAGTCATGCTTCCTAAGGCCCACTTGACTTCACATTCCAGGATGTCTGGCTCTATGAGAGTGATCACACCATCGTGAGTAACTGGGGTGTGAAGAACTTTTTTGTACAGTTCTTCTGTGTATTCTTGCCAACTCTTCTTAATATCTTCGGCTTCTGTCAGGTCCATGCCATTTCTGTCCTTTACTGAGCCCATCTTTGCATGAAATGTTCCCTTAGTACCTCCAATTTTCTTGCAGAGATCTCTAGTCTTTCCCATTCTATTGTTTTCCTCTATCTCTTTGCATTGATCGCTTTCTTATCTCTCCTTGCTATTCTTTGGAACTCTGCATTCAAATGGGTATATCTGTCCTTTTCTTCTGTGCGTCTCTTCTTCTCACAGCTATTCCTAAGGCCTCCACAGGCAGCCACTTTGCGTTTTTTGCATTTCTTTTTCCTGGGGATGGTCTTGATCTCTGTCTCCTGAACAATGTCATGAACCTCTCAGGCACTCTGTCTATCAGATCTAGTCCTTTAAAGCTCTTTGTCACTTCCACTGTATAATCATAAGTGTTAACTTACTTCTCTATAATTACAATAAATCTGCAAATAATATGATGTTTGCAATAAAATGAATTAAACACATAGGACTGCTATTTAGATATCAGGTGACATAAATGCTTTAGAACTCACTTATTAAACTGCAGGATCTTGAGTAATTATAAATGAGAGAAGGAAAGTAGAGCGGGTTACCCTGTCAGCAGAAGAGGCCAGATATGTATTCTGAATCCCCATGGAAAATAAAATTAAGGCAACTGTTCCTGTTAGTTAGACTAGAAAACACTCTCATCCAAAGCCCTACTACTGTTATTATGATCAGCATCACAGTCAAGAAGGGCCCTCACTGAAGCAAGAACCAAATAGGTGTATTTAGCTTTGGAATTTGAAAAAAAGAAAAAGTTTTCGCATATTTTACTTTAGTGCATACTTCTTATTTTCTGTATCTAAAACTGTTTCATTTAAAAGGCAAATTGTAAACTCAGCTTCATTTAGAGTTCAGGTAATTTTCAGAATATTTTGGGCCAAAATAAATCTTTAGATGGAAGTATTTCAATATTGATCTAAGAAAGTAGTCATAACGAGGTCTATGGTAAATTTAATTATTTCAGTGTTACCCAAAGTGGGTACAGAATTCTGCACAATATTAATTATCCTTTGATCAAAAGGAATTTAGAAAATGCTGTTAAGTCAGCTTACCATGAGAGCTCAGTTTTTTTTTTTCATATCAAGATGTAAGTTATCAATCTGTGTATTAAATCTACTGAAGCATATGTTGAAATACAGCCATAAGACAGGAGGGGATCCCAGACAGAGGGAAGTTTATGAGCCAATATGAGCAGGTGGAAAAGCATAATGAATCTTTTAAGAAATTAGGAAAATTCTGGGTTTGGAGGAGATAAATCTGGAAATAGATGCCAGAGCCAAACTGTGGGTATTTTGAATGACAGACTAAGTAATTCAGACTTTTACAAAATGTCAGCCAGCAGTCATTGAAGATTTCCAACGGGAGTGATTGAATAAATGTGAGAGTTTGGAAAGATCAATCTGGCTGTAAATGAATAGGTCAGTGCAGAACATGGAAAATACTAGAAGCAGGGAGTCCAATTAGAAGGCACTAGCAAAGAGTCAGGAGTGAGATTAACATAAATGGTGAAAAGAGAATGAAAAGGGAAGATGGAGAATGAGGTCTATTGCAAAAGAAGAATGCGAGGAATGAAGGAGAGCTTTAAAGTCCCCAAGACACTGATGATGACTTTAATGATCACAATGTATCCTTTGCAGCTTCTTTATATGTGGGTCATGCTTTGTAACTGCACCCATGCCTTTCTACCATAAAGGTAACTTTCCATTCTTTAACATGGCCAACTTCTAATTCATTTTTAGGATTTCTATTTCATTTATCAACTTTTCATTCTTAAATAATTTTTATATGTTCTCTTAGTATCCTAGATAATAATTTCTCTAATATTGAATCTTTGTAACCACATGGACTGTAGCCCACTAAACTACTCTGTTCATGGAATTTTCCAGGCAACCTAATAGGCCTCCTGAAATTAGGGATCAAAATTTTCCACTTTCTATAACCAGCACAAAAGCAAATAATGGAAACTCAATCACTGTTTGAATAAGGAGCATGCCTAGGAATGTTAGAAAGATAGGAAGCCTAAAAACAAGCAGAAATGGGGAAATAGATGGAATATAAGGATTGAAGAAGGGTTGTTTTATCAAAATGTTGGAAAGACAATAGAAATAAAATAAAGAAAAGTGATAAAAAGGGAACTGATGAGGCAGAATTCCAGAGTGAAAGGCAGACTGTAGAAGGCAGATCAAGTGTGGAGAATTCACCCTCCTGTAGTCCAATAGTTTCTACATAAGAGGCCTTGTACTCTTCCATTTCCTCACCTTAGCTCCTTGTGTTTCCACTCTCAAGAATGCTACCCCATCTTGAATCTCTTTTTTTATATTTTCTTGTGTACATCTAAAACACAAATCAAATATCACTGTCCCATGAGAACTTCCATGGTCACTTATTTCTCCAAATCTCCAGAATAAATTTTTCTTAATATGCAGGCTGAAGCACTCCTACATAAAATTCACTTTGGGTGATGCTTTTGGGAAATTTGTCTTTATAGACATATTTTATCTAATAAAAAACACAAAGATAATATAATCATTTTACAGCTCCAAATGAAGTAATAGATTTAAGCAAATGATCACCTATGGATACAAGAACCATTAGTGGAAAAATGTAGGTGGGGTAATTAATGATAAAGGCAATCATACCGAAACCCACTGATCAAACTGCAAGTCATAGAAAGAAAGAAAACTTGATTTCATATACTTCCTTATGGAAAGATAAAACACACTCTCTAATGTTTCTGCCAAGGAACCAGCATTTGACCAGATTTTATCTGTAACAATCAGTTTAAAGGAAATACAGAAGACAGAAAAAATGTGAAAAGATAACACTGAGTTGTATTCAGCAAAATCTCAAATGTGTGAAACAATCCAATTTTTCAACAAACAGATTGCAAGGAGCACAATTTAAAGAGGGAGTGGAAAACCCATAATTTAAATAAATATTAAAAGAAACTTTAAGATGTATCAACTAAAATTGTGATACATTTGGATTTCAACAAACCCAAATTTACAAATTATTTATGAGACAAATAACCTATACTGTTAATTTTTAGGTATGATGATGGCTATGTTGTTTAAGCCTCATTAAACTTCTTGAAATATTTTCACATGAAATGATACGATATCTGGAGTTTGCTTCAAAATAATCCAAGGTGGTGGCAGGTGTGGAGAGTAAATTGTGATACTATGAGTGAAACAAGACAGATCATTGTTGCTTGGATGGCAGTCATATACTTCATTTTTATATATACATTTGAAGAATTCTATTTTATATCCTTTTAAAATGCAAGTTCCTGAGCCCAATCTTAGAACTACTGAGTTAGAATAGCTAAAGGAGAACCTAGAAATCTGCATTATTAACAGGCTCCAAAGTGATGATTACCCACACTAAGATTTGGAAATCTCAATCCTGAACAATGATTCCCGTTGTTCTTATTCTTGTCAGAGACATCTAGTCAATTATATATTCATGCTCTAGCTTTAAAGATATTAATAGAAACTGTCAAAGCCATATATTTTATATGTACTCAATACATATTAGTGATATTATTCAAAATATTTATTGCTTTTCACTCTGAATAAATATTATAGGTCTAGATTATACAAGATTTATCCATATATTTCATGATATTAGGATTGTGCAACTTCTCAGCTCTTAGCAGTAATCCTATGACCATATGGCATTTCTTTCTTAGTGGTGTTTGACACCTATAATTCTTAAAATGCTAATATCCTCATACATCATGCAGCAATGATAAAATTTAACAGATGAGAAAAATAATTCACTCTTTCACAGACAAATGGAAAAAGAGAATATTAGCATTTTGTGTAGAATATCAATCTTAGCATTATGTGTAGAATACCAACACTGATTTTATTTATATATTTATATCTTCCATTACACCTCCACTTTGCCTTTGTCTGAGATTGTCTTTGTTAGCTTTTCTGCAATGGTTCATTTATTAAGTAATCACTTTGATTTTCCTAAGAGGATATTCTTGCAAAAATATAACATTTTATTGAAAAAAATTTCCCCCAAAACTTAGTATTCCCTGTACCTTGGAACTCAAAAACATTCTACGCTACATCTTGTCCTAATACTCATCCAGTATTCTAGATCTGCCACTAAGTAGCTAGGTGGTTTTGAATCTGGCCCTACTGAGTCCTGGTTTCCTTGCGTATATAATCCTAAAATAAACGTCAATCTACTCTTGGATCCTATATTCTTTCTGGGAAAAGGTATTTCACTTAATATTTAAACAAAAAACACAACTTTCGAGGAAAAAAACTGGTATAACATCTCAGCAACTTAGATGAGGATAAGGCCAGTTGCATATGTTGTATTCTGAAAGTAGAAATCCAGGAATATGAAGGTTATTTCCCACTTCAACTTACCTGTTTATGAGCATGGTCATAAGAATTAATATGATTGTCAAACTCCTGGTGTTTGTGGTACTGCTTGTCACATAACTCACAGTAAAAGTTTGCCTTTACATCTTCCAGGGCCTTTGCTGTGGACTTCTCCTTTTCTGGAAAATCCTTTGAAAAAAAAGGCAAAAATGTTGGTTATATTTCTCTCTAATAGCATAACCAGATCTCATATTAATCAAGTTGGTAATTTAATTTTACTGTGACTCAAAGGAAATGGTTAGCCTCATTACATTTAAGAAATCTATAGCACAATGGAAGAAACTTTCAGCCTGGCCTAATCCTAAATTATCAATGAACATATAATGACTTATCCTAAAGGAGCTGAGCCCTCAGCTTCAGTATGGTCATTACTCTTTGTCTTCTTGCCACCTGTTTCCAGGTGTGATACTGCTGACCCATCTAACTATAATATCACCACCATGTCTTCTACGTAGCCAGCGACCCATCCCAAAACTGTAAGACCTCTCTACTATAATATTTTATCAGGCATTGATTGCATTCTTTTGTATTATTCACCTACTGCTTCATGTACTTTGGCCTACCTGAGATCTTAAGTGTCTGGACTTACTATTCTCTCTTTACATCATGCCTTTCCCACCTTGATAACTGGTGAGCCTTTTCTCAACACCCAGTTCTTGGGCCCTCACAGCATCCTTTTCCATGGCATTTCAAGGAGGAGAAAGCCTCCATTATGTTGCTTATTACCAAACACATCTACGATCATTCCTACTTTGTTTTTTTCACAAACATTTCTTTCTTTGATATTACCCCTTATATTTTTGTATTCCACACAATTCCATCTTCAGCCAACTGATTTATCCACTTCACACACTCTCCCAGGGTGGTCCCTTTCATACCATAGTTAGAGCCTTATTTATCCAAAATCTCTAACTTCGGCCTAAGCTTCCTCCACAAACATTATATTATCTAGGGTGAAACAGATCACCAGCCCGGGTTGGATGCATGAGACAAGTGCTCGGGCCTGGTGCACTGGGAAGACCCAGAGGGATAGGGTGGAGAGGGAGGTGGGAGGGGGGACCGGGATTGTGAATACATGTAAATCCATGGCTAATTCATTTCAATGTATGACAAAAACCACTGCAATGATGTAAAGTAATTAGCCTCCAACTAATAAAAATAAACAGAAAAAAAAAACAAAAACCATTAGCTCCTGCTAGGCATTGCTAATGAGTGTGTTACAATTTTCAAAATTATTTTTAATTAATTTTCATTGGGGTATAATTGCTTTAAAATGTTGTGTTAGTTTCTATTGTACAGCAAAGTGAATCAGCTATATGTATACATATATCCCCTCTTTTTTGGATTTCCTTCCTATTTAGGTCAACAGAGAACACTGAATAGAGATCTCCCTGAGCTAAATAGTAAGTTCTCATTAGTTAACTGTTTACACTTTTAACTATACTCTATCTCAAACAGAATTTTGGCCACATAATTCCTTCACTTAAAATCCTCTTGAATTCTCTCATTGCCTATAGAATAATAGTGACAAATGCTTACTGAACATAAACTATGTACCAGGTATTAGGATAAGTATATGAAATATCTCAGTAGTTCCTCATAACAACACTATAAAAATAATAATTTCTATGTTAATGGACATTCTATAGATGCATTGACCAGAATCCAGAGAGATCACACACTTGCGATCACTGAGTTAATAACTGGAAAGGGATTTGAATTCAAATAACCAATGTCTAGCTCTTTTGTTAACAAATAGCTGTGCTTTACCATGTCCTTCCAAGGCCAATCCCCTTAATATACCATACAAGCTCCTTCTTACCTCATCAGTGTCATTAATAGCAATCCATGTTCCCATATTACCCTCTTTAATTTTATCATCAGACGTGCCATATGATATTAAAAAAATTGTTGTCATGTCTATGGTTCCCATAAATCTTTTGAAGGCAAGAATTGTTTTATTTGTTTTTGTGTCAACAGTATCAAACATATTATCTAGCTCAGAATAGGTGCTTATTTAAAATGTATGACATAAATTAATGGGTAATGATGGCTTACATATTCATGCCTCTTACCACCCTGCAAGTTCTGCTCTATTATCCTAGTGCCTAGATAAAAGAATGGCTGGCACATAAAGGATGCCAAATAAATATGCATAAAGAATGGGTGAACAAAATAAAGAATGGATTTTAGCTTTGTTTCTCCAAAATGACTAAACTTCTATGAAAAGAAACCAGGCCATAAGTCTAAATTATAGGGGTATCATTGCCCAGACAAGAAAGCAGTCTGGGCAGATTCTCACAGGGTTGGATGAAGTGATGAGGCAATTAATTTAGATATGGGAACATAGTGATTCAAGCCCCAATATGAGTCTATCACACATGGCAAGAAACCGGAAGGACATCAGTACACTAATAAAGAGCAAATTAGACTAAATATCTGGAGTGCCTAGCTAAGAGAGATGAAGTAGAAATCTGGTTACATTCTAGCTTAATGGGGCACATAAAAGCTACTTGATAGGATATATTCAGAAACAAGAATGTGGACACCAGTTTCAAGACCAAAAATCCAGTTGCTGAAGGAATTGAGATTATACAGTTACTTAATAACTGCGGGAGCAGTAATAGTAGGCTACTATTGAGTAGTAGACTCAGAATCAGGGGAAATTGTTACTTTTTCATCCAGTGTTTCTCACTAGAAATTATAGTCTTTCTCAGTATAATTTTAGCAATTGGATTGGAACGAGTGTCTACTTTGGTTTGCCCATGGTTCTTACTTTACAATGACACAGCCTCAGAAAATTGACCATGTGCTTGGACATTGAGCAACTCTGCTTCAGCTTCATTAACTGGAGTTGGAGTAGGGATGGCAACTGAGAATTCAGGGTGAATTTGTCATTAAAAATGTATTTTCATACTATTCCAGATTATGTATTATACAGAGGATTTTATGACATTAGCTCCATGGCCAGAGTAGAGCTTTTCCAGTTAGTCTCAGCATCTATATCTAAACATCTTTTATTTCTAAAACACCCTTTAATTATGATATTACATGGCTCTCAATGAAAAAAGTTATGAGAGTTACACCAACATTTTAGTCTATATCATTCCCTACAAATGTTCACATTTTACAAAGCCATCTGACTAAATTACATACCCTATTTCTTGCTTCATTTTTCTTGTCAGGATATGGTGCTGATATACCCATTTCTCTTTCCTCTAAAGGATTATTGATATTCCCCATGGCATATCCTAGTCCCCCGATTGAAAGAGGAAGGATACATAAGTGGATAAATTAGCAAACTATATAGGGTTCACAATACAGTTTGTCCTTCAGAGCCAGAAGTAAATGCATAAGCCCAACAGCAGAGACTAGGGAATAGAAATGGGAAAAAACCTGAGAGTCTCAGGCAGAGGAAACTACAATCCAAGAGTTGGGTAGGCATAGCAGAATCATAGAGGAAAAAGAGAAAAGAAAAAAAAAAAAAAGAGTTCTTAAGGATTTTTGGCAAAACTTGAAACAGATTAGCGTGAGAGTTGACTTTCAGTAAAAGAACCACAACCTAGTCGTCCAAGGCATTGCTTGGAATAAAGTAGACCAGTTCTGAAGTGTGAAAGTAGACTATCATGCTGTCATCCACTCATTTTTCCACTCGTCTAACCATACTTTCATCCTGCTATTATCAAGCACTTGTACAGGCAAGAATCTCTTGTTAGGCAACTTTAACTGTTCATTTCTTAACAAGTCTTTCTTCAGATTTTAACAGTCTAGCATGGGAGAATTACAGGCTTCCCTAGTGGCATCATCGACTCAATGGACATGAGTTTGAGCAAACTCCGGGTGGTCATGAAGGACAGGGAAGCTTGGTGTGCTATAGACTGTGGGGTCTCAAAGAGTTGGACACGACTGAACAACTGAACAGCAACTGGTATCTCAGTGGTAAAGGATCCACCTGCAATGCAGGAGATGTTCATTCGATCCCTGGTTTGGAAAGATCCCCTGGAGAAGGAAGTGGCAACCAACACCAGTATTCTTGCCTGGGAAATCCCATGGACAGAGAAGCCTGGCAGGCTAAAGTTCACAGGATCACAAAAGATTCAGACATAACTTAGCACCTAAACAAAAACAGCAGCAAAGTGGAAGAATTACATGTGAAGAGATGAACACTGTAAATTTCAGTACAGTAATAATCATAAGTTGCTTTAGAATGTACCTAGTTCACACTAGTTAAGAATATTTGAAAGAAAATGTAAGAGTTTTTTTCCTCTCTTTTTCACACATAGCATTAGATATACTGTAAATTCTTGGCATTCCTTGCCTTCTTTGTTGAATGACAAGATATTTTTACTGGTCAAATAAACTTGAAGGCAAATTAAGGTGAGATTTACTCTCTGAAATAATTACACAGTCTTTAAATATATTCACAGGTATGAATTAAATAGGAAAGGAGCAAAAATACGCCCCCTATTCTCAGTATCAGTAAATTTTTTAATAAAAAATGAATAAAATTCATAATAATACATTAGATATATAACATTTGATGTAAAGTTCCATCATTGATTTGCTAGTTATAAAAAGTTCCCTTCTCAAAGACTGCCTAGAAGAGGAGACTGGAAGCTTAGTTAATACAAAAAATAACATTTATTAAATAAAAGAAAACTTCTTGTTAACCATTCTCATGATTGATTAAATGTTGAAAAAATATTATAAATTTAATATGACAGTTGTCTGAAAAACTCATTTTAAAACATTAGGCATTGCCAGTAGGCATTTATGCTAGAATTCAGTAAGAATTTCATAGTAATTAACTACTTTTCATGACTCATATTTTGGGTGCAAAGAGAGAAAATACACTTTTTCACACCAAGAATTTCATATTCATGCATATAACAGGTATACCTGTAAGGTAGCAGGTGTTCTGACTAGCATAAAGCACTTAGTTAGAAATATGAATGATTTCTACCAAATTATTCTTATTATTGTAATGATGCTTACACTCTAAAACCCACTGCTCTCTCTTTGATAAACAGAAAACTGTCAAGCACTTCACACTTGTTGACGCCTTTAGTCTTCACAGCAACTTTATAAAATATCATCTCTTCTTACCCCACACAAAGAAGGCAAGGCAA